GGAGGTGAAGGATCCCTTATGTACTGGCAGGCCTAGGACATCAGGGCCGGAGGCAGGGTCTTTGGGTTGGGGGGGTGAACAGTGGCAGATATCTTGTCTTTGACCTGGATCTGGACAACTTGTCTGGAACTGCTGGGTGCTGTCTGTCTCAGAAGTCTGGGTTGGGTCCAGAGACCTGCCTGAGGCCGTGTCCAGCCATGTCCTGGTTGCTAGTGGTTACCAGCTGGTGACCTCTCAGGGAGATTGGAGAGGGGGCCCTGAGAAGGTAAATGCAGGGCTTGGCATGACCCTTTTACCTCAGAAAGTGCAGGTGATTGGCGCTGGCCCAGCTGCAGGCCCTTCACCTGGTGAGTCAGGGAGCAGCTTCTGCACCCTGGGCCTGGTTCTGGGGCCAGTGAGAAGACCAGACAGAGAACCCCTGCCCAACTCCTGGCCCAGGAGGGACCCAGCAGTGGTCAGCAAATTTCATGTAGCATGGCCAGTGCTGAAGTGTCTTTGGGAGCAGGAGACAGACTTGACCTGGCCTTGACCTGGCCAGTGGCCCTCCTGCTCCAGTAGCTGAATGTGTTTGCAGGGCAGGAGGGGCTGGATGCCTAGCATCTGAGAAAAAGACCTTCCTCCCATGCCTGGCCTCTTTCCGTCCTGACCGTGATGAGCTGGCCACATTCTTGGGCCCTGTCTACTGTCCCCACCTATATTCCTGCCCTCCCTCTGGAGCAGGTTGGAGCTGTTTGGGATGGCCTCACTGCCTCCTGGCCCCCCACCCTGAGAGCCTGAAGGGGTCCAAGTCCCTTAGAGCTGCTCTGGTCAGGGCCGGCCCGTGACTCACTCGGGAGAGTGCGGTGCTGATAACACCAAGGCCCCGGGTTCGGATCCCATATAGGCATGGCCGGTTAGCTCACTGGGAGAGCGTGGTGCTGACAACACCAAGTCAAGGGTTAAGATCCCCTTACCGGTCATGTTTAAAAAAAAAAAAAAAGAGCTGCTCTGGTCAGGGCCGGCCCGTGACTCACTCGGGAGAGTGCGGTGCTGATAACACCAAGGCCCCGGGTTCGGATCCCATATAGGCATGGCCGGTTAGCTCACTGGGAGAGCGTGGTGCTGACAACACCAAGTCAAGGGTTAAGATCCCCTTACCGGTCATGTTTAAAAAAAAAAAAAAAAAAAGAGCTGCTCTGGTCTGACTGGGGGGCAGAGGGAGGCTGGGGAGGATGACTGAAGAAGCCGCAGGCCTCACATGTGTCCTGCTGCTGCACCTGGCCTGGGGGAGCGTACCTGCATGTTGAGGTCTGGGTGGGTGGAGCAGCAGGTAGGTGCTGTCCTTCCTTCTTTCCTCTGCTTCTTCCTATATCTGGGCTCATCCCAGGCAGCAGAGCTGGCTGGTGCTGGCCAGTGTGTACATGAGGTGTGTGGCCGAGTGAGCAGAGGAGGCTGCCTTTCTTTTCTTTGCCTCCCTGTAGCACACACTGGCCCGGCTGGCCGTCCAGGCATCAGAGCCTGGCACTGGTGATGGGGTGCTGCCATCAGATGACAGATACAAGGTCTGTGTTCTGTCGCCTGCCCTCCATTCAGGCCTCAGCCTTCATGGGGCTAGCTCAGGGGGACATAGCTATAGGAGGAAGCTCTCAATGAGGGACTTTGAGTATAGGAGCCCCAAGATTGCCCTTGGGTGGGCCTCCACCTTGTACCTGGTTCATGGGGGAGAGGACAGGGGATTTCCTCTCTGTGCCTCAGGGGATCTTGGTGCCCCTCTTTTTTAGGCCCCCAAAGAGCCCTGTGATGCATGGCTGTGCTGTTTGGATTAGTTTTGTAACTGTGGAGTGGGGAAGCGGGGCTCCCTCCATCCAGTCTACCCCACGGTGGGGGCAGTGCTCTGGCAGGGCAAGGAGCTTAACCACTATAGGTCTCCTCCACAGCCATAGTGCTCGAGTGGTTGAGGGACACTGGGGAGATGTGGCAGAACACCCTTGTCACCTCCCTAGTGTAGGCCAGTGGCCAAGCTACAGTCTGGCCCCCAATAGCACAGAGCTGAGCTGCAGCCTGGGGTCTCAGAGAAGGGGCAAAGAGGAGAGCTGTTCACAGGCCAGAGCCTTCCCATGGTGTGCCCTGTTAGGGAGGGCCTGCTGTGTCCTGGCGTGCCCTGGGGCTCCGGAAGCTGCTCTGCACTTCCGACTGAGGAACCTGTTTGCTTGTGGGGTGTGAGTGGGGCTGGGTGTGGGGAGGATAATCGGGTCGCTGACTGTATGCATTCAGCAGGCCCTAATTAGGCTGTGGTCTGTGCCAGGTGCTGGAGCTTGTTGTCTGGCCCAGCGGCCGACAGGTGCACCAGTAGTCATGGCAGGAGTGGGGGCGGGGAGGGTGATGAAAGCTGGGAGTCCCAGGGGTCCCACTGCAGGTCCCAGGCTTGGGGTAGAGAGCTTCCCAGAAGAGGGGACACTGTGCTGAGACCTGAAGGGCAAGTTTGGGGCCACTGCGGCACAGAGAAGCAGCTCAGGCAGAGATGCCTGCTCCACCTGGCCCACCCCTCCACACCCCATAGGCAGTTGGGGCAGCTCAAGGAGAGTGGAGCTCAGGGCTAGTTCTTTGGAGAGTGGGGCCCTGCAGAGGTTTTTCAGGCTGACTGGCAAGTGGAAGTTTTGGGCAATGAATAGGGTAGCAGTGGTCGATGACCAGGCACTCTGCCCACTCTCCTGGCGGGGAGGCTGCTGAGAACAGCTCTCTGAAGGCCCCTGCCCTGCCTGGCCTTGGGGGGCTGCAGCAGAGCAGAGGCTGCTGTCCCTGTCCACACACCCCCTCTGCCTTCCTCTGCCTGCTGCCTCGTGGCAAGAACTGGGTGAGCCCTGGGTGCCAGCCAGGGCCGAGCCCAGATGGTGGTTTGGGACCAAGCACAAGGAGGCCTTTGGGGGTGTGGGTGGGGGGAGGAGCCACAGTCTGGGGAGTGTTCATGCATAGCCTGGGCCTGTCAAGGGAGGCCCTTCGGGGTGGGACTGGAAGGACCCTGTGGGGGCTTCATCTTGGTGGGCCATGCAAATGGGTGTGTATGGGTGTGTGTCGGTATATGTGGCACCAGCCGACGCCTGCCCCTCTCCCCGTCCCCCACCCCCAGTCTGCTACCTGTTGTCTGCAGGGTGTCGGGGAGGGAGGGGGAAGGGATCAGGAAACTGAGGTTTTGTGAGTCAGAATTGGCCCCTCACCACCCCACCACCTCCAGCTTAGCAGCCGCCTGCCCATTGCTGACATCCTTGGCAGAGCCTTCATGATCCTGGAGGTGTAGGTGGTCTCCTGAGGCTGCAGCCCAGCTCCTCTGTCTTGAGGGGACCTGGGGAATGTGTGCTGTTGGGCTCCTGGGGTTGGCTTGCCTGTGCTAGGTGGACCAGGCTGGCACATGTGGCTGCATCGCGGCAGCCCTCAGAGGCTGCACTGCAGCTTTCTGGGACTTGGGGTGGGGGCCCTGGAAAGGCTGTATGTTATGCGCCCTCCCCTTACTTATCTGCCCCTGCTGCTTCCCCTAGTGTGGGCAGCAGTGTGAGGATGGTCCAAGCGAGGATGGGGACATCCCTGCCCTGGGGACCTGTGAACTATGTGTGTAGAGGTAGAGGCAAGGAAGCCTTTGTCTTCCCCACTGCACCCTGCTCCCTCCCCCATGACCATGTGAGACCAATGGAGCCATTATGCGGCTGGAGCTGGGTCCTGAGTTGGCGCTCTCATGGCCTCCTGGTTTGGCCCTGTAGGGGATGAGCCACAGGCAGGGGCCTCCGCCCCACCCATGTGGACTGGATCTGGAAGCAGTATCCTGGGCATGGTAGTGGGAGCGGGGAGCGAACCAGAGCAGGGCTAGGGGCCTATGGGGTTCCAAGGAGTGGAGGAGATCTCTGGGGAAGACATGGGCCTCCTGGTGCACCTCCCACACCCCCTGCCAGAGCCCTCCTCCCTGGCTGGGGGACCTGGGACTGCTCTCAGTGCCTATGTGGCCTTGTAAGGGCAGGGAGCAGGCCTGTGTTCCACCACCTTCCCACACTCCTTAGAGCCACCAGACCCCAGTGCTTGGGAGGTTGAAGGGGCCCTGGGCTGTGGGAAGTTGTGTTGGTCTGTGGCAGGCAGAAGGAAGTCTCTGGTGTGGCTCCTTGACATGGTGGAAAGGGGCCTGGGAGTGTGGGTGGGAGCAGGGGGGACCTGCAGGGATCTTCTCAATCTGCCCTCTGTGGCCCTGGGGTCTGCATCTGCCTGGTGGCCTCTCCACACAGAAGTTTATTTTTAGGGAAATGGTAGGTCTGGGAGCTGAGGCTGGTGAGGACCTGGGTAGATGGGATATTTCTGTTCTGGGCCATGAAGTAGCCATCTGGGACCCTCGAGCTTCCTGGTGGAGTGGGGCAGTGGGAGGTGAGAGGGTGCTCTGACCCCTGCTTTTGTCCTCAGGGAGTGGGGAAGGCCAGGGCCAGATCTTGCAGCGCTTCCCGGAGAAGGACTGGGAGGACAACCCCTTCCCCCAGGGCATCGAGCTGGTAAGCAGCTGGCTGGAGACAGGCTGGCATGGCCCTGCACTTGTCCCCTCAGGACTGCAAGGGGCCTCCACAGTGCCTGGTCCCCACTGGGAAGGGTACAAGGAGACATCAGAGCTGCTGTGGAGGATGGGGACGCTGGCTGGGCTTGCAGGGTTCTTGGTGCCCACGTCACTATGTCACGTGTCTCTCACGGTGGTGGGCACCATGCCCCCATCGCCTGGTCTTCATCTCAGATGGTGAGGCTGGAGGCTGTTGCTCCTCTCACCAGGAAAGGCTGAGGCCCAGGAGGCCAGGTGTCCCCATGGTCGCAGGGGGAGAGCTGCCTGTGTGCTCTGGAACCTCCAGGCCCCGGCAGTGCAGATGCTTATGGCAGGTGGGATGGGGGCAGGTGGACTGTTCCCTGCTGTAGTCGTGGGTGGAGGCAGCTGACTGCTGAGCCCTCCCTGCAGTTTTGCCAGCCCAGCGGGTGGCAGCTGTGTCCTGAGAGGAACCCACCTACCTTCTTTGTTGCTGTCCTCACTGACATCAACTCGGAGCGTCACTACTGTGCCTGCTTGACCTTCTGGGAGCCAGTGGAGCCCACACAGGTCAGCTTGGGGGCTTTGGGATGCAGCATATGTGAAGCCGAGCCCTGCGGCCATGGCCAACTCCCTCAGCTTCCAGGGGTGTCTCCCAGCCCTTGGAGGCTGGAGTTCCTGGAGGGCCAGAGCTCTTGGAGTCACCTGTGTCCTCCCCCCTGGGCTCTTGGGACGAACCTGATGAGAGCCAGGAGAATGGGCTTGTGTCTGCAGGCAGTGGTGTGTACCGAGGATTCTGCGGAGAGGGAGGAAGAGGCAGATGAGGGAGGCCGGGGGCAGCTCTCACCCACAGCACAGGCCCCACCTGCCCAGCTGTTTGCTCCGAAGACACTGGTGCTGGTGTCGCGACTGGACCACGCAGAGGTGTTCAGGGTGAGGCAGGCAGCCAGGGCGGTGAGGCAGGACGCGGGTGTTCCCGCTGGCTGTACCGCCATTCCCCGATCTGGTCATTGCAGAACAGCCTCGGGCTCATCTACACCATCCATGTGGAGGGCCTGAATGTGTGTCTGGAGAACGTGATTGGCAACCTGTTGACCTGCACTGTCCCCCTGGCCGGGGGCTCGCAGGTGGGTCTTGAGGCAGCTGGTGTACACACAGCCGCAGGCCCTCCTGGTGCGGTTTTGGGGGTGGGGCCCTGGAAGGCACCCAGAGTCCAGCCAGGGCTAGCACAGTCCGAGGCCTTGGACACTACCTCCTGCATTTTGGCGCCACTGTTAATGGTGCCTGTTTGTGGCCCTGCCTGCTTACCTGGCTCTCATACCTTCACTTTAGGGCCTAGCATCTTTCAGTTTCTCTGTCCTTTTGTTCTTTGGGTGTGTGCCTGTCTCTGGATGTCCATGTTAGCTTGTCTGTCTCTCCCTGCTCTGTGTCCTCACATGCTAGGGGTGTCTAACTGTGTCTCTCTGCCCGTCTGTCCTGTGCAGCTGGACTCTGTTGAGGAAGGAGCGGTATGGATTCTTTGTTTCTTCCGCCCACCCAGGCCCCATCCCCACCCTAGGTCAGAGGCAGCCACCCCTGCCCTGAGTTTTCTCTGTAGCACTGCTTGGGCGACAGAGGCAGGGTGTGCCCTTTCCCTCGCACTGTGCAGCCTGTCCCCGCTGGTCCCACTCGGGGTCTGTCTGTCTACCACCGCCCTCTTAGGGCCAGAGTGCTCTGGGCTGACTCAGGTGTGGTCAGGCTCTGAGCCCTGAACCTTCTCTTTCTGCAGAGAACCATCTCTTTGGGGGCTGGTGACCGGCAGGTCATCCAGACCCCACTGGTTGACTCGCTGCCTGTCAGCCGCTGCAGTGTGGCCCTGCTGTTCCGCCAGCTGGGTGAGCCGACCTGTCCCACCCTGCACAGCTTCCTTTCCCAGGGCTGGTAGCCAGAGGTATTGGTTCTTGCTCTGTGCCTGGTGCAGGGGCCCAGGTCCTTCTCCAAGCCTGTCCTCTTCCATCAGGCATTACAAATGTGCTGTCTCTGTTCTGTGCCGCCCTCACGGAGCACAAGGTCCTCTTCCTGTCCCGGAGCTACCAGCGGCTCGCAGACGCCTGCCGGGGCCTCCTGGCACTCTTGTTCCCTCTCAGATACAGGTGCTCCTCCCCTGCCTGGCCCCCCTCCGCGTGGCCCCCACCTCTACCCGGTCCTGTCCTCTTGGACTCACTGTGTTCTCTGGGCCTGCTGCAGCTTCACCTACGTGCCCATCCTGCCGGCGCAGCTGCTGGAGGTCCTCAGCACACCCACACCCTTCATCATTGGTGTCAATGCGGCCTTCCAGGCAGAGACCCAGGAGCTGGTAAGGTCTGTGGTTTGTGTCTGCCTTGATGCCCAGGACTCTGAGTCCCTGACCACTCACCCCTTTTGGTCCACAGCTAGATGTGATTATTGCTGATCTCGATGGAGGGACGGTGACGGTCCCTGAGTGTGTGCACATTCCACCCCTGCCAGAGCCACTGCAGAGCCAGACGCACAGCGTTCTGAGCATGGTGAGGGCAGGGGCCGTGGGGAAGCCGGAGCCTCAGGACCTTTGGGGTGCCATTGCCTGGCAGCAAGGGGAGCCCAGAGTCCAAGGCCAGTATGCAGCTGCTCTGTTTGCTTTTGCAGGTCCTGGATCCAGAGCTGGAGATGGCTGACCTCGCCTTCCCCCCACCCACGACATCCATCTCCTCCCTGAAGATGCAGGTGGGGGTCGTTGCTGCTTCGGTGTGGGGACCTCTATGCCCCTCACGTCCCACTTAGGTCTGCTGCCACCGAAGGCTGGGCTGACTGTGCCAAGCATGCTGTGGCCCCACCTCCAGGCTCCTGTAGTGTAGGCAGGAAGGAGCCTGGGAGCAAACGAGCTGCAGGCAGTTAGGTGTGGCAGTTGTGCAGTGGGCACGGGTGACGCTGCAGGGGACCTGTTGAAGGGCTGGGACTCAGTGACCAGCCATGAGGAGCCTCTCAGTGTCCTGAGAAAGTCCAAACAGTTTCAGTGGCTGTGTGTGGAGGATGGTGGGAGGGCAAGAGGAGGTGGGCAGAGGTGCCTGGGGAGGGCCCACTCCTAGCTTGGGGTGGGAGTGGGGAGGAGCGTGCGGGGGGTGGGGCTGGCACTCACTGCACTCACCCATGCTCCCAGGACAAGGAACTGCGGGCTGTCTTCCTGCGGCTCTTTGCGCAGCTCTTGCAGGGCTATCGCTGGTGTCTGAACATCGTGCGCATCCACCCAGAGCCTGTCATCCGCTTTCATAAGGTGGGCTGCTCAGGGTGGTGCAGGGTGTTGTGGGGGATGGGAGGTAAACACCTGCTGGACCTGAGGGGCCCACCTTCTCATGTTCCCCCAGGCAGCCTTCCTGGGCCAGCGTGGGCTGGTGGAGGATGATTTCTTGATGAAGGTGCTGGAGGGCATGGCCTTTGCAGGCTTTGTGTCAGAGCGTGGGGTCCCCTACCGTCCCACGGACCTCTTTGATGAGGTATACTCCTGGCCCGCCCACCTGTCCCCCTGCCCTGGCTGCCATCTCTCACCTGCCCATCTAACCCTGCCTGCTGCCCTCCAGCTGGTGGCCCATGAGGTGGCACGGATGCGGGCAGATGAGAACCACCCCCAGCGTGTCCTGCGTCATGTCCAGGAACTGGCAGAGCAGCTCTATAAGAATGTACGGTGGGGCACGAGGTACGGGTTTGCTGCCCCCTCGATTGCAGCTGCTTGCCCATGCCTACCATCTCCCCCACAGGAGAACCCATACCCAGCTGTAGCGATGCACAAGGTGCAGAAGCCAGGCGAGGCCAGTCACCTGCGGCGGGTGTCCCGGCCCTTCCCCCGGCTCGATGAGGGCACTGTGCAATGGATTGTGGACCAGGCTGCAGCCAAGACGCAGGGTGCACCCCCGGCCGTGAAGGCTGAGAGGAGGACCACTGTGCCCGCAGGGCCCCCTATGAGTGCGCAGGGATGGAGGGAGGGCAGGCCTCGAGCGTGGCCCAGGATGGGTGTGAGGTCAGGGGCTGGGAGTCAGGGTGAATGTGTCCTGTCTCCCCAGCTGCCATCCTGGAGCGGGGCAGTGGGCTGCACGCCAACAGCGCCCGCAGGCTGGAGGTTGTGCGCAACTGCATCTCCTATGTATTCGAGGGGAAGATGCTTGAGGCCAAGAAGGTGAGGTATCGGGTGGGGCCTCTGACCTGGGGTCAGGGCAGCGGCTCTCAGAGAAGGCTTAGGCCTCGCTTCGCTTGCCACGGATGCTGAGCCCTGCCCAGGGAGACCCATTCACCTGCAGGACGGCTGGAGGTGGCTGGGCTGGCAGGAGGGCAGGTGGGCTCCTGGTCTCCCCTCCTTGATTCTCAGCGGGCAGTAGGATGGGCCTTTGGGGACGCTCAGAATGGGGCGTTTATTTCAATTTTTTGAAATCAGAAGACACCAAAGATTTCTACTGTTTTTTTTGCATCCTTCTCCCAAAGAAGTGTAGACCTGTGCATGCCATGTTTCTTTTTCTACTTTATAAAAACTAGAATCCACCACTTGTCCTGTCCTTCATGGTGTTCACTTAGCACCTCTGGGGTCTTTCACTATAGCTAGTTTAAGTCTGCCTCATTTTTTCACGGCTGCATGGTGTCCCTGTGAGGTTCTGAGCTGTTTTATGGTGAATGACAGTTAACAGTAGAACCAGCTCGGGGCCTTTCTGTGGCCTGGCCTGTGCCAGGTGAGTCGCCTGTGCTGCACAGGCTCTTACTTCTGTACAAGGAGCCCCAGCCGGCCAGCCAAATGGCTCCAGGCCCTCAAGCTTGTGAGCGCTGGGACCCCGTGTGCAGCATTAATGTTCTCATGCCTCTGTTGTCATGAACTGTGGATATCCACTGGAAGTTTTAGTCTATATTGGTTAGTGAAGCCTCAGGGTCTGGGCACACTGACCTGGATGGTTTTTGAGTCTTCTCTGTGCTTGGAGCCAGGGTTCTGGGCTTCTGAACACCTGCTGCCCTCTCCTCTTTGGCCTTTGTGGGGTCTCTGCCCCTCTCTGTGCCCTCAGCCCCCTGTTTCCCTGGCCCCTGCCCCCAGTTGCTCCCGGCTGTGCTGAGGGCTCTGAAGGGACGGGCTGCCCGCCGCTGCCTCACCCAGGAGCTGCACCTGCATGTGCAGCAGAACCGGGCAGTCCTGGACCACCAGCAGTTCGACTTCATCATCCGCATGATGAACTGCTGCCTGCAGGTGAGGCCAGGCCTCCTATTCTGCCAGCATGTGGTACATGAGCAGGGACAGGCAGGAGTTCCTGGGTCTCTTTGTGACTGACAGCTGGGGGAGGCCCTGGTCTGTGGGTGGGAGTGAAGAGATGGTGCAGGGGATCCCTGTGCCAGTGGGATGGGGGTCTGCAGTCTGCACAGTGGGGGAGAGCCTTTGGTGGAGGCAGGTGCTGGGGTCTGGGGTCTTCTGACCTCAAACCTCCAAGGTAGCCCTGGGGAGCTGGAGTCAGTGGTTCCAGGTGACAGTGGTGGGAGACACTGTTCTGGTGGCCACAGACACAGTAGGGGTGTGTGGTTGGAGGTGGGCATTGTCTGGGAGGGGAGAAGGTCCCAATGGGCTCAGCACTCCGCCCACAGGACTGCACCTCTCTGGATGAGCATGGCATTGCAGCCGCTCTGCTGCCCCTGGTCACAGCCTTCTGCCGGGTGAGTGCTGGGCTGGCCCTGGGTCTCCTCCCTGGGCCTCTCCTGGCTGCATCCAGATGACCCCTCCCCTGGCTCCTGCAGAAGCTGAGCCCAGGGGTGACGCAGTTTGCATACAGCTGCGTGCAGGAGCACGTAGTGTGGAGCACGCCACAGTTCTGGGAGGCCATGTTCTACGGGGACGTGCAGACCCACATCCGGGCCCTCTACCTGGAACCTACTGAGGACCGAGCCCCCTCCCAGGTGTGCAGGGACTCCCTAGACCTTGGGTGAGGGGTGGAGGCCCGGTGTCATCCCAGCTCCCATGCTGTGGTTTTGTGGCAGGAAGTTGGGGAGACACTTTCCCAGGAGGACGAGCGCTCTGCTCTGGACGTGGCTTCAGAGCAGCGGCGCCTGTGGCCAACCCTGAGCCGCGAGAAGCAGCAAGAGCTGGTGCAGAAGGAGGAGAGCACAGTGTTCAGCCAGGCTATTCATTACGCCAACCGCATGAGCTACCTCCTGCTGCCCCTGGACAGCAGCAAGAGCCGCCTGCTGCGGGAGCGGGCGGGGCTAGGTGACCTGGAGAGTGCCAGCAACAGCCTGGTCACCAACAGGTGAGGGCAGGGCTTGGGTGAGCAGACTAGGGGTGGGGTACACAGGGCCTGTGCCCACCACACCCCTTCCCTGGCCCAGCATGGCAGGTAGCATGGCTGAGAGCTATGATACGGAAAGTGGCTTCGAGGATGCAGAGACCTGCGACGTGGCTGGGGCTGTGGTCCGCTTCATCAACCGCTTTGTGGACAAGGTCTGCACAGAGAGTGGGGTCACCAGCGACCATCTCAAGGGGCTGCATGTCATGGTGCCAGGTACGGGGGGTCTGGGTGTGGAAACACCCCCTCAGGTGGGCGGGCATGGGCCAGGGCGTGAGAACTTCTCTCCCCTAGACATTGTCCAGATGCACATTGAGACCCTGGAGGCTGTGCACCGAGAGAGCAAGAGGCTGCCGCCCATCCAGAAGGTGAGTGGCTGGCATGGGGCTGGGGGCCCAGGGGCCTGGGCTGTGTCCTGAGGTGCTTTGTCCCCGAGCAGCCCAAACTGCTGCGGCCACGCCTGCTGCCTGGCGAGGAGTGTGTGATGGATGGCCTGCGTGTCTACCTACTGCCTGACGGGCGTGAGGAGGGTGCAGGGGGGACTGTGGGAGGCCCTGCACTGCTGCCAGCTGAGGGTGCTGTCTTCCTCACCACCTACCGGGTCATCTTCACGGGGATGCCCACCGACCCTCTGGGTGAGCCTTCAGACCCTTATTTTTGGCCCTTTCCTTCTCTCCCTACCAGGCTCTTTAGGGCCCTGCCTCTCTCTGCCCCTTTCTCAGGGTTGCAGGGTCCCTGTGGGAGATGGGCCTTTGTCTGCTCCTCTCCCACCCAACTGGGGTCCTCCAAAACTGGGCCCTGAGATTCTTTGACTTCCTCCCCTCCCATCCTTCTGACTCTGCCCGGTCTGCGGTAAGTGGGGGAACAGGTGGTGGCCCGCTCCTTCCCGGTGGCCGCGCTGACCAAGGAGAAGCGCATCAGTGTCCAGAGCCCTGTGGACCAGCTCCTGCAGGACGGGCTGCAGCTGCGCTCCTGCACATTCCAGGTGGGTTCTTATCCGCCCGCAGCCAGCTGAGTCCTCTGTCTTTTTTGTGTGAACTGTTCTCAAGCTGGTTTCCAAGTGTGGCCCTGTGGTTGGGTTGTTAGTTTGGAGCCCTCACCTTGGCTCTCAGCTTGGTTTCATCTGCCTATTTGACATGCAGCCTTTGGGTCTTTTTTTTTTTTTTTTTGTCCTTTTTGAGACCGGCTGCACCGTGCTCAGCCAGTGAGTGCTGTGAGCACACCGGTCATCCCTATATAGGATCCGAACCCGCAGCGGGAGCACTGCTGCGCTCCCAGCGCCGCACTCTCCCAAGTTCGCAACGGGCTCGGCCCAGCCTTTGGGTCTTTGCTGGGTTTTTTTAGGTGCTGACCCTGGAATTTGTGTCTTGGGTGTGCTGTGTGAGCCCGGACCTTGCCACATAGTAACTGAATTCACAATTTACACAGACACTTGACTTTGAGTGACATGGGCATGGTACCTTCCCTCACGCTTACCTGTCTGGTGCGGCTGCAGTGGGATGGAGCCCAGGTACCCAGCAGCGTCAGAGTGGGGGAGGGGCCTCCAGACCCCTGAGGCCTTCTTTGTCTGATGCAGCTGCTGAAAATGGCCTTTGACGAGGAAGTGGGGTCCGACAGTGCCGAGCTCTTCCGTAAGCAGCTGCACAAGCTGCGGTACCCACCAGATGTCAGGGGTACCTTTGCGTTCACCTTGGGGTCTGCCCACATATCTGGCCAGCAGCCCCGGGCCACCAAGGACAAAGGTTCTTCTCTCAGGTATGGGGCACCAGCTGTGTGCCTGCCTCAGCCCTCCCAGACCCCTGAGCCTTCGTCCCTGTGTCTCTTCCTCTCACTTCTGCTGATCCTCTCTGCCCCAGAACCCTGTCCCGGAACCTGGTGAAGAACGCCAAGAAGACCATCGGGCGTCAGTACATCACTCGGAAGAAGTACAACCCCCCCAGCTGGGAGCATCGGGGCCAGCCGCCCACTGAGGACCAGGAGGATGAGATCTCAGGTAGGGCAGCTGAGGGGCAGTCCTGGGTGGTCTCTGGATGATGACTCCCCCCTGTGGAGGACCAGGGGTGGGCTGGATGGTCTCTGGGTGACGACCCCACGTGCCCGGCCGTTGTAGTGTCGGAGGAGCTGGAGCCCAGCACGCTGACCCCATCCTCAGCCCTGAAGCCCTCGGACCGCATGACCATGAGCAGTCTGGTGGAGAGGGCGTGTTGCCGTGACTACCAGCGGCTTGGCCTGGGCACCCTGAGCAGCAGCCTGAGCCGGGCCAAGTCTGAGCCCTTTCGTATCTCCCCAGTGAACCGCATGTATGCCATCTGCCGCAGGTGAGGGCCACAGCACATGCCAGAGAGGACGTGGCCAGGGATGGCTGGTGTGGCGGGAAGGTGCTTGGACACCCTGCCTGCTGAGGGCCTGGCCAGACAAGGGATGTGGAGCAGCCTGGGTGTTGTCCTTGATTCTGTCTGCTCTGCCCATCGTGGGTCCCAAGAGCTGACCACCCAGGCCTGAGGTCCTTGTCTGTGGCCTTCTGCTCTCCTTGTGAACCCACAGGCCTCACATCATGCTCAGCAGAGTGCCCTGGGCCATCGTGTCCATCATTAACACTGGGCCCTGAGTCCAGGGACCAAGACCAGGGCCAGAGTCTGCCCTCAGAGTCACTCAGGCAGAGGCCGGACGTGAGCCTCACTTGCTCTTGGGAACTCCTGCTCCTGGTCAGGAGTGGTTTTCAGTTTTCCAAATATCGCATTACATGACTTAAGTATGTTTTACAGTCACAGTGTCTTCCTGCATTCCCTTCCCTACCAGGTATCGGGAGTGGCACCTGCAGGCGGTGTCCTCCCTTCCAGGGTCTGCTGGCATCCAGCACCTGTGGTGTCCCCTAATGTTCCTTGGGCATCTCTGGCCTCTTCCCACCCCAGGTGGGGTTGCCTCTCAGTGTCCCCAGGCTCAGGGAATTGGGCCATCCCCCTCATTGCCCAGTGACACACAGTAGTCTGTCTGGCTTCTGAAGTTCTCACTGTGAGCTGGGTGACCGTGACTGTCCCAAGTGTGGCGACTGGCAGAGGGCATGGTGGGCTGCCATAGTGCTTGGCCTGTGGTGACCTCTGTGGTAGACAGAGGGACATTGCCTTGCGCCCCTCGCTGCATCCTGCCCATGGGCTCTGCAGAAGCAGGTGAGCTTGGGGCAGGGCCAAGTGCCCAGAGACCCACTGTGTGACCCCAGGCACCTTCCAGGCCCCTGGGCTGCCTCTTCCTCCCGTGGCCTCCCTATGACCTCAGGTTAGGCCTCTCACTCAGGCCACATGGACAGGCCTGTGAATCCCAGCCCAGCACTGTCCCTGAGGCTCAAGCCTGCTTGTGTCCTGCACTGAACTGCCCTCCATCTTTCCGGGCCAGGCATCTCCAGGCTCTGAACCTCTCTCTCCCCTCTTTTAGAAGCCTCTGGGCTTTTTCTTTTCTAGGCTGCGCTCCTTGGGCCCTTCCTCTTGTGTGTCCTGGACGGAGGCCTCTGTATGGCTGTGTCTTGAGAACAGTTCTGGGCAATGCCAGCCAGACAAGCCCCGGGACCTCTTGGCATAGAGACAGGGCGTGGAGGAAAGACTAGAGGGCAGAGCTTCTCTGAGCTGGCTTCAATGGGAAAAAGAGGAGGTGTTCAGAGGAGAGCCCAGGGTCCCTGTCCCTCCCTGTCCCTTCCCCCCACCATGGGGTCCTCTGCTGTCTGTCCTGCCCCTGTGGAGAGGACCCTTGCCTGCACCTGGATGGCTCTTCCTGCTCTCCTGAGACTGGGGGCTTGGTGCTGACCCCTGCTGTCTCCAGGGCTCTGGGGGGGCTTGGTGGGAGCCTTTGGCCCGTAGGCACCCCAGGCTGGGCACACGCTGGGCCTGGGGCCAGGCCTGAGCTTTCTCTCTGCTGTGCCCCCAGTGCCCAGCCCCAGAGCCAGGGTCACCACGCTGTCCAACCCCATGGCGGCCTCGGCCTCCAGACGGACCGTGCCCCGAGGTACCGTACCGGGCCTGTGCAGGCAGGCTCCTCCTTTACCTGGTACTGGTGGCCCCCAGCGTGCACTGAGTTGCCTTGGGCACTAATGTCTCCCTTCACGCCTGACACTAACGGCCCCTCTGTGACAGACCAGCATAACCAACCCCTCCCCCTAGCCCTGGGTACTCCCCTGCCTGACACCGAGCCCTGCCTAGCACTAACAGACCATACCCCCTGTGTCTCTCAGCATCTGTGTGTTCCAGCCCTCCTCCCTGGCACAGCCCTGCTGGGGTCCCGTCGACCAACCCTGCCCTGGGAGCTCAGTCCTCTCCCTGGAGGCCGGGCCCAGCCAGCCCCAGGTAAGTGGTGGTCCACCCTGCTCAGGTGCTCACTTGCTCTCTCCTCCACAGGAAAGTGGGGCAGTGTCCGGGCCAGTGGGCGCAGCAGTGGGCTCGGTGCCGATGTGGGCTCCCGGCTGGCTGGCAGAGACATGCTGGGCCCCCCCCAGGCCAACGGAGCCCCTCCTGACCAGGGCTTTCTGCGGCCTCAGCGTGCAGCCCTCTATATCATTGGGGACAAAGCCCAGCTCAAGGTGACTGGAGCAGGGGGCTCAGGGCAGATCGGGAGCACAGGGCCTGGGCATGTCTCACGGTGCCCCGCTGGCCTCCTGCAGGGTGTGCGGCCAGACCCGCTGCAGCAGTGGGAATTGGTGCCCATCGAGGTGTTCGAGGCGCGGCAGGTAAAGGCCAGCTTCAAGAAGCTGCTGAAGGCATGTGTCCCGGGCTGCCCTGCCGCTGAGCCCAGCCCAGCCTCCTTCCTGCGCTTGCTGGAGGACTCGGAGTGGCTGATCCAGGTCAGGTCTCTGAATGGCCCTTGTCTCCCTGCCCACCTGGGTGCCAGGCCCACTACCCCACTAGAGCTGAGCGGATGGGGTCTGGGTTTGCTTTCTTGACAACGATGGGCACCAGAAGGAGGAGGTGACGGCTACCTCCCAGTTGGGGCTGGGGTGTCTGGAAGGTGGCTGGGGCAGGCTGGGAGGGCCTGGGTGTGAGAGGGTTAGGGGAAGCCTGCTGAGCTTAGGTGGAGTGATGACCCACACAGAGGAGGTGGCTTATAGGTTGAGTCTCTCTGTCCCTGTATCCTCTTTTGGGAGATAAGGCATCGAGAGGGCATTGGCTTGGTGAGTGCTGGCGGGCTTGGGGATAGGGCCAATGGGCACCTCAAGGACAGGAGGATGTCTGCTGAGTCAGTGCATCCTCAGTCCTGGGGTGCTTGGGAGGGGGGTGGGCTGTGACGGGCAGGCTGGAGGAAGCAGTGGTCAGCACACCCAGAGCAGACCAGACCTGTCCAGTGCTGTGCCCACCTTACAGGGCTGCGGACACCACCAGCCTCACATAGATGCCAGCAGACATGTGGGTTTCTGGGGCCTGGTCAACAGTGGGGTCAGAGGGCAGCAGGTCCCAGAGAGCCCCCTGTCCCTGCAGATCCACAAGCTCCTGCAGGTGTCGGTCCTGGTGGTGGAGCTCCTGGACTCGGGCTCCTCTGTCCTGGTGAGCCTGGAGGACGGTTGGGACATCACCACTCAGGTGTGTGGCAGGCATGGGGCTGGGGTGGGCCAGGGTTCCCTGGGTGCCTCCCTGACCCAGTGGTGGTGCCTGCAGGTGGTGTCCTTGGTTCAGCTGCTCTCGGACCCCTTCTACCGCACCCTGGAGGGCTTCCGTCTGCTAGTGGAAAAGGAGTGGCTGTCCTTCGGCCACCGCTTCAGCCACCGCGGGGCCCACACCCTGGCTGGACAGAGCAGTGGCTTCACACCTGTCTTCTTGCAGTTCCTGGACTGTGTACATCAGGTGGGCAGGTGGCCATGTGGATGGGTGAGGAGCTGTGCACCCTGACCTCTAGTCTCTGACCCACATTGCACACAGGTCCACCTGCAGTTCCCCATGGAGTTTGAGTTCAGCCAGTTCTACCTCAAGTTCCTTGGCTACCACCACGTGTCCCGCCGTTTCCGCACCTTCCTGCTCGACTCTGATTACGAGCGCATCGAGCTGGGTATGTGGGCGGTGGGGGCCTGGAGGAGCCGCATGGCAGGGAGGGCCCTGGCTCAGCGCTGCCCTCGTGCAGGGCTGCTGTACGACGAGAAGGGCGAACACAGGGCCCAGCTGCCCTGCAGGTCTGTGTGGGAGTATGTGGACCGGCTGAGCAAGAGGACGCCTGTGTTCTACAACTACGTGTATGCGCCTGAGGACACCGAGGTGAGCTAGGGCCTGGTTAGGGCAGGGGCTTCTGCTCGGCCCGGATCCTCAACACCAGTCCTGCCCCCAGGTCCTGCGGCCCTACAGCAACGTATCCAACCTGAAGGTGTGGGACTTCTACACCGAAGAGACGCTGGCTGAGGGCCCTCCCTACGACTGGGAACTGGCTCAGGGTCCCCCTGAGCCCCCAGAGGAGGAACGGCCTGATGGAGGTGCTCCCCAGAGTAGGCGCCGCGTGGTGTGGCCCTGCTATGACAGCCGTCCCCGAGCCCAGCCTGATGCCATCTCGCGCCTGCTGGAGGTGTGTGTGGTTCCAGAGCAGGGCTCGGCCCGGCACCTGCTTCTGCTTGCTCAGACACTGGGGAGGGGGCAGTGGTGGTGTTAGTCCCAGTACCCCTGGGGGTTGGGGTGGCCCTGCCCTCGCCCATCATGTGAACTGCACACTGGCCTGGGATGGCTGTGGCTCCTTTCTAGCCCTGCCCTGCACCAGGTAGGTATTTACAGATCACGATGACTGGAGGGCTGTTGTCACACACACCCAGGTGTCAGGCTGTGGCCTCTGCACTGGGCACATGAGCTTCCATGACCTGGTTCAGAGTGGCTCAGACAGCTCCTTCTAGGTCAGCCCTCAGAGAAGACGGTTTCCCCAGGAGCCACTCCTTTCTCTTCCAGCCTGCCCTCCCTACCCACGCTACCGTGAGCAGCTCTTCTGAGTTCGTGCCTCGGAGGCTTGGGGTTAACAAGGGTTTCCCCAGGAGCCACTCCTTTCTCTTCCAGCCTGCCCGCCCTACCCACGCTACCGTGAGCAGCTCTTCTGAGTTCGTGCCTCGGAGGCTTGGGGTTAACATTTAGGCTCCTCTTGCCCCTCATTTTGTCATCCTTAGTGGGCATGTCTGCTCAGCCTCAGGGATCAGGATCAGACAGGGCAGAGACCCCTAGAGGGAGAAGAGAGCCCAGTGAGTTGGGCAGTGGTTGCGGTTGTTGGTGTGTGGGGCTGGGGCAGTGCGGAGGGCAGCATGCCCCGCACAAGGTGCTGCCTCCCAGCAGGTCCAGCACCCAGAGCCCTCCAAGGGGGCTGAATGCTGAGAAGGGCATGGGCCTCAGGTCCAGACCATGGGAGGGTTTGCACCCCACTCCCCACCGTCGGCTCTGTGGCCTTGGGGATTATCCAGGCATGTTAGAGCTTCTGTTTCCTCATGTGGAAAGTGGGGGTGCTGCTTCTCGCCCCACGGGGAGGTGGTGAGGCATAGATAGATGGGTAACGCATCCTGACCACCCAGCTTGGGGCCTAGCCCAAAGCCACCTGTCACCCAGTGCTTTGGGTGAGCGTGGGGTCTTGGTTTTGTGGATGAAGGTGGCCTCGAGCACAGAGGCAGGAGAGAACCCCTCTAACCCCTCGTTACGTTTGGAGACACTCTTGAGCTGGCTTGGTTGGATGTTAATGGAGCCACTCTGCTTTCTTATGACTTGCATTATTGCGATCTGATATTTCCTGTGTTCTTATTTGTGACTTGTGTGTGTCTTTATATTTAAGGTGAGTTTCTTGTATGCAGCATGTAGTTGGGTCTTCTTTTTATCTAGTCTGACAGTTTCTTTTACTGGAGCTTTTTTCAGTTCATTTATATTTAATGTAATTATTGACATAGCTGGGATTAAATCTAGCATCTTGCTGGGCTTTTTTTTTTCTTTTCTATTTGTCCCATTTACTTTTGGCTCCTTTCTTCCTTTTCTGTCTTTTTTTAAAGGAATAATTGAGCATTTTTTAGTATCCGTTTTATCTGCTGTATCTGGCTTTCGAGCTACACTTCTGGACTATCTTTTTAGTGGTTGCCGGGGACTGTGGTCATGTCCATCTGAATTACACCACGTCACACATAAAAACCTTACAGCAGTGCACGTGCGTTTGCTCCTTTCCTGTCTGTTATGTTACTGCTGTTATACCCTTTACCTTTATGTGACATAAACACATAGCATGTGTTATTGTGTTATTTTTGTTTTAAATAGTCGACTTTGTTTTAAAGAAATTAAGAAAGAAGGAAGAAACCTTTATTTTTGCTGCTTTCAGTAGCGTCCCCTCTTTCAGTGCACCTCTGGTCTGGTGTCACTTCCCTTCAGCCTGCAGAACTTTTATTTTTTATAATGCAGGTCTGCCAGTCACAAGTTCCTCAGTTTTTATTTATCAGAAGATGTCTTTATTGTGCCTTTGTTTTTAAAGGCTGTTTTCTCTGGATATTGCATTCTAGGTTGACAGCTTTTTACATTCATCGGTTTAAAGATAATACATTGTTTTCTGGCTTGCATTGCTTCCGATTTGAAGTCAGTGCTCCTTCTTATAAACTGTGTCATGTCACCCCTTGTTCCTCTACCTTTATGATTTTCTCTTTCAGCAGTTTGACCATCACGTGGTTTTTCTTCGTGTTCTTCCTGCTTGGGACTTCTTAGCTTCTTAGATCTGTGGGATGATCATTTTCATCAAGTTTAATATATTTTAGGCCATTGCTTCTATAAATTTTTTTTTTTCCTACACAATCTCTCTCCTTCCGTTCTGGGACTTTATTGTCCCACAGGTTAATGAGGCTCTGTTTGGTTTTTATCCTCATCTTTTTTCTCTCTGAAGTTCATTTTGGATGATTTCTGTTCCTTATCTTCAAGTTCATTGCTCTTTTTGTGTGTGTTTAGTATGTTCAAGCCCATCTAATTAATTTTTTTTTTCCTTTTTGTCTTTTTTACTGACCGGTAACGGGATCGCAACCCTCGGTGTTGTGCCCGCACCACGCTCAGCCAGTGAGCAGGAACCGGTCTCCAAATGGGATCCGAACCCTCGGCAGGAGCGCCGCCGTGCTCCCAAGCAGCACACTCTCCAGTGCGCCACCGGGCCGGCCCCATCTAATTAATTTCTGATGTTAGATATTGTATCATTCAGTTCTAAAATTTACGTTTGGTTCTTTCTTTATAACAGTTTTTATTCTCTGCAGAGATTCCCCATTTGTTCAACCATTATGTTCATCTTTTCCTCTGAATCTTGAAACATATTTAGAATAACCATTCTGAGTTCCTTGTTTATTAATCTCAACACCTGTTTTTATTTCTGGGCCTGTTTCTTTTAACTGTTCCCATTTTCCTGCCTTTTTGCTTTTCTAATATTTTATCGTAAGCTGGACATTGCGGATCCTGTGTTGTTGAGGACGAGGATTGTGTTGTCTTCCTTTAAAGAGTCTTGGGCTTTATTTTTGCAGATAGTTAATGAACTTGAGGATCAGGTTGATCTTTTTGAGGCTTGTTTTTAAGTTTTTTTAGGGCGTGCCTAAGCAGGTCTAGAGAAGCTCTGGGGTTAGTGTAGCTCTACTCCTAAGGAATGGCCTCTTCAGGGTTTCAGTTGGAGTTTTTTTGTGCCTTCAGTGAGGTCTGACCACTCTGGCTATTTGGAATTCCTACATCTTCTAGCATGTGTGTATTAGTCCCATTTTGTATTGCTTGTCACAGGATACCTGAAACTGGGTGATTTATAAAGAAAAGAGGTTTATTTGGGTCACGATACTGGGACAGCTGCATCTGGTGTGGGCCTCAGGCTGCTTCTACTCACAGTGGGAAGTGCAGCAGGCAGCCAGTGGGTACAAGCAGATCATATGGCGAAAGGAAGCGAGAGAGAGAGAGAGAGAGACACAGACAGAGGGAGAGCTAGAGGCGGAGGTGCTGGCGTCCTACAAGCAACGAGCTCTCATGGGAACTAATAAGCGAGAACTCACTCACGACCCCTCCTCCCCCAGGGAGAGCATGAATCCACTCATGAGGGATCTGCCCCCATGACTCAAACAGCTCCCGACACTGCCACATTGGGGATCAGAGTTTCACATGAGTTTTGGGGGGACAACACATCCAAACTCTGTCAACGTATAGCCTCTAGGATTTGGATTTAGCTTATAGCTTCCTAGTTGCTGTTCTCTGTCAGGCCTTGTGACATCTTGCTTTGCACGTGGCAGCTTAATTTGGCTGAAGACTCAAGGAGACCTTTGTGTAGATTTCTAGATCGTTCTCTGTGGTACTCCCTCCGCCTCGCAGGCTACCCTGCACATCCGCCTGCACTAGCTCCCCAAACGTCCCGTCTCTCCTCCTCAGCTCAGCAGGACTGCAGTGTGCGACTTTGCCATGCCTCTGGCCATGTCTCTGGCCAGACAGAAAACTGGGTTAATGGCAAGGCTCACCTCGTGTGGTCCCCTGTCTCAGGGTCATTGCTACACTGCTGGTTGTCCAGCATCTTGTAACAACGGCTTTCTTTTCTTGTCCAGTTTCATAGCTGCCTGTGGGAGGAGGGCTGGTGAGACTAAGGCCTGTGTCGTGGCTGGAGACGGAAGTCTGCTCCAGGCTTCTGTTTTGAACTCAGCCGTCAGTCTTATTGCTGCTCTTTCAAAGAGAACATGTATTTTTTGTTCTGGCTGGTTTGGGGCTTTTCTCTTTGTCTTTCAGCACTTTTTGCTGTAATGGCCTGGGGGTGCGTGTGTTTAACCTGTCCTGTTTGGGATTTGTAGTGATTCTTGATTGTTGTTTGATGCTTCTGATTAGTTTGGGAAATTTTCAGCTCTTGTCTCCAGATGTTGATTTTCCCCATTCCATCCCTCCTTCCCCACCCTTGCCGCCTTCTGTACTCAGATCGCGTGGTAGACCCTTTTGATTATATTTCTTTCTTGAGTTTCACATTCTTTTGTCTTTTATTCTCCAGTCTGGATATTTTCTTCTGAATAACTTTTTAGTTTACTAATTCTTCTCCAGGAGCTGCAGCGGCTGGAGACAGAGTTGGGCCGACCTCCTGAGCGCTGGAAGGACACTTGGGACCGGGTGAAGGCTGCACAGCGCCTCGAAAACCGGCCAGATGGACGTGTGAGCAGGAGTGGGTGTGGGGGGCAGTGTTGGGTGGCCAGGGCGGGCGTACTGCCAGGCACAGCAGGCAGAGGCTGCCCAGCTCTGATGCAGGACCCACCCTCCTGCCCCCAGGGCACCCCCAGCTCACTGCTAGTGTCCAGCGTGCCCCACCACCGCCGCTCGCTGGGCGTGTATCTGCAGGAGGGACCCGTGGGCTCCACCCTGAGCCTCAGCCTGGACAGTGATCAGAGCAGTGGCTCAACTGCATCTGGCTCCCGCCAGGCTGCCCGCCGCAGCACCAGCACCCTGTACAGCCAGTTCCAGACAGCCGAGAGTGAGAATAGGTATGGAAGGTACCTCGCTGCTGCATGGGTACCTCTGGGCTGGGGGTCTGGAGTCCTGGGCAGTGCCCAGATGGGGGGTGCAGGTGCCTTTGCGGAGTGCTAGTCGTTTCTCTGGGTGGAAGGATTTGTGGGGAGGCCACAGGGTGGCCCAACCGTAACCATAAATCAGAAGGGGTTTGGGATGTAGAACTTGTGAACGCAGCCAGGCTGCAGTGGCCAAAAGACGAGCAGAGGGTGAGGGGCCGGGAAGCACCTGTGAGGCCAGGGCAGGTGCCAGGTGAGGCCAGGGCCCAGCAGGACCCGTCTGTCCTCAGCTGTCCCCCTGAGCCTGGAGGGGCCGCATAGCTGCAGTTGCCTCGCCAGACTTGCCTGCTGAGTGTTCCTCGTCCTTATGTGGGGCACTTGCCCTGCAGGTAGGGCTGCTTCCCTGAGACCCTGTGGCTTTGGTGTGATGGGACCCTCCCTGGTGTCTGTCAGGAGGTGTGGGGGACCCGTCACCATCTCCTTTCTGGAGAGAGTTCTCTTCCTGGGTCTGTAGGCCCTGGCCAGCACTCCGGCCTTAGGTCAGCTCTGGGGACAGGAGCCTTGGTTTTGCCACCTGGGCTGGGAAGGCAAGTGGGGGCGACTGCTGGGAAGTGGGTTTGGCTGGGCCCTGACTGGGCTTGGCTGGCCTGGCCGTGACTCTGCTGCAAACGCAGGTCCTATGAGGGCACCCTGTACAAGAAGGGAGCCTTCATGAAGCCCTGGAAGGCCCGTTGGTTTGTGCTGGACAAGACCAAGCACCAGGTGAGTGGCCATTGGCGGTGGGGGGCTGCGGGGAGGGGCTGCCCTGACTCCTTGGCCTCCTGCAGCTGCGCTACTATGACCACCGAGTGGATACAGAGTGCAAGGGTGTCATCGACCTGGCAGAGGTGGAGGCTGTGGCACCTGGCACACCCACCATGGGCGCCCCTAAGACCGTGGATGAGAAGGCCTTCTTTGACGTGAAGACAACGCGTCGCGTTTACAACTTCTGTGCCCAGGATGTGCCCTCGGCCCAGCAGTGGGTAGACCGGATCCAGAGCTGCCTGTCGGATGCCTGACCCTCCTTGGCCCTGCCCGGGCCGCTCTGCTTCCAGTCATTACAGACCACTAGGGGTGGGCAGGGCCGCCCCGGCCATGTTTACAGCCCCGGCCCTCGACAGTATTGAGGCCCTGAGCCCCCAGCACTTGCGTGTACAGCCCCCGCCCCGCCCCCCCCCC